CACCCAGCAAACCTAAAATGAAACTAGAAGATATATCAGAAGCTCTGTTAAATTTCTTCAACCCAATGAGTAAGTGTTACTGTGATCACTGAATGCTGAGAAGAGAAATATCTGAAACCTTCAACCCAATACCATAAGACTTTGTTAAAATGTCACTTAGCAGGTTGCATTATATAATTTCCACATAACATTTTATTCACATTTGGAACAAAGGCCCAGTTGTTTCCGCTGCACTAATGCCCCCTAACAAAGTCCTTCATCTTAAGTGATGTGTTATCCTCAACCAGTTTATGCCGGACACTTTCAAAGCAATAGGGGAAAGAAAACAGTGGTGTGATACAGCCGTGAGTTTTGCTATAGACACGGAAAGCATGATAATTGATATGACACGGTCTGATTCTGCATTCTTCATGCACCCAATACTGTTTTGATCCCACCAGGGGATGTTAAGGTACGTGAACAATGTAGGATGTGAAGGGGATGTGCAGAATGCAAGACTAGTTCCATGATGACATCAGAAAGTCATGGGGGAAGTGAAGTGTCTGGGGGTGACACTAGATGCATAGGTCCTCAGACGGTGTAAACCTGCGTAAACTGTTAAAGTTGATGAAGCTAAACCAGTTTATACCTGCTGAAGATTCATGAACAGGATAAGCAAGTATCTAGCATCATTAAATGCCTGATTTCCCCCAGGGTTTAACTGGGTTGGACCTTTACCATTAAACTGGATAGGTGCATGATCGAGGGGGTGATAAATTGGACTATGGCTGGAAACAAATAATCTCCCAGAATTGTAGGGAAAGTGTTGTATAAATAGGGGGAAGGAGTGCATTTGTACTTTTAAACTTTAATAGAGATGATCTGAATAATGATTACATAGCAATATTTTAATTATATTTCACTATTACCTTAGGTTCTTGTTACTGCCATTGCAAAATTACTACCTTTTAAGTACAAGTAATTAGTGGTTAACACTGAGACAGACGGGTGCAGCATGCCACCATCAGTTAGTTAAAATGTGCAGGATTTTTAATTTTCTTTTATTTGAGAAGCTGTCCAATCAGCAAACTAAATTTGTTTTCCCCATTATTTTTCAAATCTGTTAAAATTAGGAAAAACTCAGCTAAATGCTATTTAGATTATATTTTTCTGGATATCTTATTAATATGGTTGTTAGTGAAACAGCAGCAGCAGTTTAAAAACGTCACGTCTCTCATGATCTTAGCTTCCCCTGTAGCTTTAGTATGGAGTTATTGTTCCATATCCAAAAATTAATCACTTAAGAAAATGAATGACATTTTTTGGGCAATGTGCCCTATCAAAACATAATGAATAAGTTGAAATGCTAAGTTTTCTGTGTGTCAAGACATTGTTATATAACGGTTTGATTGAGCACTGTTCAAAGAACTGAAACATTCTGGTTTTTTGTAAGCTTGTCGCCCTAAAGAAGATCAAGCATTAGTTGTGTGCCCTGCAGGAGAGAATATTAACAAGACGACATGCCTGGAAAATAAATGCTGTCATTCCTCCAAAAGGAGGAGTGCCCTGAGTTGCTACATCCCACTCCGAGATGGTAAGTGTGCTTGTTCTATAAATTGCTAAGAATCCTTTTAGCCAAATGTTTCATCTGGTCAAAACCTGGGATTTTCTGTTCGGTTTCTTCCCTTAGTTTTTCAGCGTGCCATTCTCATCCATGTAGTGCAGCGTTTATTGTAGTATTTGCATATAATGTAATATAAAAGACAATCGCTTCTGCCAGCAATCTCAATTACTTGGGAAGCTTGACAAAAGCAGGCAATGAGCATTTCAGTACAATTGAACATAAGGTCATATATCTAGGAACAAAGAATGCAGGCCCTATTTGTCGGCTAGTGGAATCTGTCCAGGAAAGCAGTGACTTTTAAAATGATTTGGGAAATTATGGTGAATAATCAGCTAAACCTGAGCTCCTGTTGAGTTATTGTGGCCAAGAAGACTACTGTGCTCATTGGGTACTTAAAGTAGGGAATATAATTACAATAAGTAAATTATATTACCACTTGGCAGTAGCATGACCATTACTAGCATAAAGCATCCAGTTCTGGTCTGCTCTTCAAGAAAGATTTTTTGAGTGTCTCAATTTTTCCAACATGACAAGTACTATGTTATACTATATCTGGTTTCATTCCGCAGAGCTTTCAGTGGCACACTGGGCCAACTGGAAAAAAATCTTGCCAAACCCAAAATTTAAATGTATAAAATAAGCTATAAAAAAATAACTTGATAGGCCAAATTTTCAACTGATATAAGCCAGCTTGCTTCTTCCATAGTAATCCACTAGCTTACAGAGGCTTAAAATATTGCTCCATCTTTCCATTAAACCCAAAAGAAATGTTCATAAGTTAATGTATTTCTCATTTGATTTCCACTTATTTGAGGACATCATCACTGTAGTAATCATAACAATGGAAACAGCAAATCAAACTTAGGGCCAAATTCCAAAACCTTTATTCCAAGTGTGTAACACCACCCTCCATTATTTTCCATTGGTATCATGGGAGTCTCCTTGAGTTAAGTAATGTTCTCAATGAATCACACTGTCAGAACCTGTCTATTCGCTAGGGGCAAGACAAATTCATAAAGCCTTTAATAAAACTCATTCTATGAGTTGGCTTTTATGTTGTGTAAAAAGACATTTAGCCACAGCAGAGAGAAACTGTAGTGAATTATAGCTCTCCCACTCAGTTTAGGACATGCACTCAAATGAATGTTAAAATTAAATATGCTTATTCAGCTGCAACTGCTTGATTCCTCATTTCATTTAAGCTTTTATTGTTTGGAAGTAAACATCAAGGGCCTACTATTTTACTAAATTATCTGCTTATAGATTAATTAGCTACTTGAATGCTCCAGGATGTACAACATATGTCCAAAGAAGATGCACACACTTATTGCCCTGGGAGCACATGCTGTGTGCATCATAACAATCTGTTGACAAAATACAAGCACTTAGCAGACATTTGACTCAGGGCACTCGCATTTCTATAAGATGGTCTTTGGCTGCATACAACACATGCTTGGCCCTGGGAGTGTTGCCATTGACTTTAATGGATCAAGCCTTTAAAACAATGCTGCAGACGTTCCAGACATCAATATTGCAACATTGAAAGGTAATTTCTAGCCAAAGTAGACCTGAGCTGGAAGTCGCTTAAAGTTTCGAGGCCAATTAATGGTTTTACGTATCCCATTTTTGGGGGCACCTTTAAAGGCACCTGATTTTCAGGCTCTGGGCACACCTGGCCACTAGTAACTTTTGAAACCTGAAGCTTGCATCTGACCTTAGTCAAGTATCTGGGCAGTCTGGATTCAGATCAGATTCCGAACCTGATCTTTCTGACCGGTGCCCATTTCCAACATCTGCATATTCTGTTCATCCCATAGCAGGATTAGTTACACACCTAGCTTGCTCAATAGCTGTTGTTCTCTCTAGTGTATCAGCAAAGCAGGCTCTAATTTAGCTCTCTAGATCATGCATCATTAATGCAGCCTTGCATCAAACCAACAGCACCCCAACAGACACTGCGACTGTTTGGCCTTGGATTTGGAGGAGTGGTTATTTTTGGATGCCTTCCACTTTGCTGCTGTACTTATTTGCAGAGAAGGTAAGAAACTACTACTTCATGCCAAACTGGATACATGCCACATTATTGAAATAATTTGAAAGTATGGGTGATTAGACAAATGTAAAAGTGATGAGAGGAAATACAACAGAAAGAAAGCAAAGGTCTATTATGTAAGCATAAAAAATGGCAGGGTTAATTTGACTTGGAAAGAGGTCAGGTATCAAGTCCAGGCATCTCTTCCAAAGGCCGGCTATATATCATCAGGACCTAATCCTGTAATTGTCCTTCCTTGGAGGAACCTGCCTGTCATTTTGCAGATTCATTGACAAAAAGCAGCTCCAAGCAGGCACAGAGGTCTGCCTGATGACGTCAGGCTCCTGTTGAAATACAGGCCTAAGCTACACTGACCAAAACTGAGTTCTTCTGTAGGCAGGTGTGCTGGCATGTTGAAACCTGGTTTTAGATGGGTTTGGTCTCCCGACCCACCTTTGGTTTAGCAATCAGTCCCCTCTCCCGACTGTATAGGTTCAACTATAGGCGTTTACTATTAAAAGCATCTTACCCTTGTTCCCCTTTTTCATCTGGGAGTAAAGGGGCAACAACCACTACCAGTCATGAACAACAGAAGCGTCAAAAAGTACTAGAAAAAATACAATAAAACAGCCCACCACTTAATCCCCTTGCAGTGCTTCAGGGTATCTCTGTTGCTACAAATGTAATGCCAGGTGAAGCTGTATGATGGTATAACTAGCAATGTTCACTTAGGCTGCTCAAAATGCTATCTCCTAGCCAGAATCTTAGATCCAAAGGGAAGTGCATAACACCAGTAAAAGTGAAGGAAAACTAAATACTTCCCACAGGTAACAGTGCTCCTTATCAGTTTATGATATACAGGGGAAGAGAGGGGAATGAGGACTAGCCCTCTACTTGCCCAGCTCTCAACTTGCAGGTAGAGGGAAAACAATTTTTTTACTTTCATCACAGCCCGAAGGCATGGTGAAGTTCTTGCTCAGGAAATCTGAGAAGAAAAGAACGAAGAAGCAAAAGTGACTTGAAGAGGGAGATGAACAGAAACCTAGCGCAGGATAGAATAAAGCAGAAATTGTATCGTGAGATTCATGACAGGAGGGAAAGCTAATAAAAAGACGGGAGGAAAAAAGTGACACGTAATGAGAGCGGCTAAGAACAAAAGTGGAGGAAAAATTATGTCTAAAGCTACTACATACTTCTATTGAAATGTCTGAAACCTGAAAGCTATCTGAATATTAGTAACTCACTGCTTTGCAGTGTTGATACTACTCTGTATGTGTGTACATGTATGTGTGCACGCACACACATATGTCATAATAATGGGGATAGGGCAAGTTACACAACA